ATATACTAACAACAAATTCTTTATGTATATGTGTAGGCTCATTTCACTATTCTAGAATGTGATGATCCAAAGAAGGATCCGTTGAAGGATGAATGGATTAAATATGCGGGAGAGCGATGGAGAGGTTTTAAGACACAACTCACAAAAGAATATATTAGAAATCCCAAAGAAGGTTGCACTCCTGCATATGTCAAGTATAATTATATTAAAGAAGAAACATGGAAGGAGTTTCTGAAGTCTCGAGATACCCCTGAATTTAAGGTTAATAAGCATTATATTAATTTTTTCATGCATAAATTTTTTATTATGTTTAGCGATTAATAACTTTTTAAGTTTATAATAGGAGAAAAGTCAAAAGGGTATGGAAAGTGTGGCTAGAAATGTATACCCACACGTATTATCTCGTGGAGGGTATCGCTTGCTTGAGGAAAAAATGAAAAATGAAAGGAGATCATCGAGAGATGATTCTACAGTAGATGATAATGGTAGTCCATCTCCACCGTCACGCCATGAAGTATGGAAGAGAGCACGACAAAAGAAAGGGGGAGAATACACATCACATTCTACACAAGTTGTTGCTGAGAAGATTGTAAGTAAAATTTGGAAAATACTTCAAGTATCATTATAGTTGTGATTGATAAAAACTATTGAAAATAGTTTTGATTTTTGAATTTTGTAGGATTTTCTAGTTGAGGAAGCTGAAAAGGGTGTCTTTGTTTCGGATGGACCTAACGATATCTTAACAGTAGCCATTGGAACATCTGAGCATGGAGGTCGTGTTCGTGGTGTTGGAAAACACCATAAAATTAGCACTTTTTTTGGAAGGTCGTCTTCACGTCAAAGACAACATATGGATGTACAAGAACAACTAGCGCAATTTTCTTTGGAATTGGAAGCAAAGCTTAGAGCTGATTTTGAGCAAAAGTTGGTCGAAGAGCGTAAGGTGTTGCAACAATCTTTTATGGAGACACTTAGGTCTATGGGTCTCTCGCAAAGCACCGAAAATAAAAAATGCATTGAACAAATGGAAGTTGTCGATGGAAGCGGAAGAGGAAGTTGTTCAGCTGCAAAAGGAAGCACAAAAGAAGTGGAAGACGATGTTCAGAGATTGTTACTCATGGTTCTGAAAATGGGCGACACACACTTGGAATTAAAATTAAGTCATTGTGCAAGTGTCATTAATTTTTATATGTCAGCTAAGTGTATCAGAGAGTTATTGGTGGGTTTTCAATGGCTTGACGTGTCTATTCTGCAAGTTTGGTCCACGTAAGTACATTTTCTTTTTTTTATTACTGTTAATACATATTAATATGTTATATCTCTCATCACTTTGACTCTAATATTTACTTTAAAATTATTCAGGTATATTCATCGTGTATGTATTGATAATTCCACATCGGAAGTATATGGATTTATGGACCCTGCTAGGTGTGTGTATGTTGATAATATGCAAAAAAATGAAGCAGAGGTTAAAAAATACATACAAGATAAGTTACGTGACGAAAACAGAGTGTGTCACTTACTACCATTTATTCATGGGTAAGTTTGTATGAAATTGTGTTTTTTATTTTTTTATTTTTGATAACATAGATATTTGATGTGTTTTTTGTGTTTCCACGCACACGTACAGAGACCATTGGAAATTAATAGTCATTTGTCCAAGAGACAATATTGTGGTCGTCTTTTGTTCACTTCATCGGGAACTTAATCCAACCATGAAGAAAATTGTTACAAAGTAAGTTTATATTTTATGTGAATTTTGTTATAGTATATGTTATATCTCATATACATAAAATTTTACAAAAGTAATTTCATATTTTATGTTGCTCTATATGAATTTTTTTCTGAATTAGTGCTTTCGGGGTTTATCAAATGGCAAATGGAAATAGAAAAAAGGCTACATGGCTCCAACCCAAAGTAAGCGTCATGTAAATTATAATTTTATATTTAATTTTATCATAAGTATTCACTAACTGTGTCATTTATTTTAGACAAGGCGACAACATAACTCTATTGACTGTGGATACTATGTTATGAAAAATATGTTGGATATTGTCTCTGCCAACATAACCGAGTCTTGGTTGCAGGTAAATAAAAATAACTTTACTTTGTTATTTACTTTGCATTTGCAACTTAAGGTGAATTTTCAAAGAATGACTTTATATTGCTATTTACATATTGTAGGTATTTGATGATCCAACAGAATTAACACAAGATGATTTGTATGATTTGCGACTCCGTTGGGCAAAATGTTTCTTTGAGTTATATAAAAATTAAACTTTATATGGTGAGTTATATAGAATTTTCTATGTATACCTAATTTGAGTTTCTTGACTTTGGTATTGTCTGCTGATGTTTATTGTTATTATTATTTATTGTCAGCAAATGTGATTTTGGTGTTCTCTACCGAAGCTAGCTACAACGGATTTCTTGTGGATTGCATGTTGGTATTCAAGTGTGGTAAAGGACTTATAAATGGTTGAATATTGAAGAAAGAATATGTGTACTAGATTAGTACTTTTGTTCCTCAATTAGTACTTTTGTAAATCAATTTCTTGTGGATTGAACAGTTGTATGTATACTAGATTAGTACTTTTGTAAATCAATTTGTTCATGTTGAAGAATATGTGTATCCTAGCTATTTGGTGCAATGAAACTAAAAGGTTAGTTGAAAAAATATAAAAAATTGCATACCAAATAGGGACTAAAATTTGGTATGTGTGATGTTGGAAAAATATGAAAAATTAAGTACCAAAAAAATTACAGGGATTCCATATCGATTCGGATAAAAATTAGTCTAAATATTTAAGAAAAACAACCTACATTTAACATCGGGTGGGTGTGCTTAAAAACCGATGTAAAAACATAAATTTTGAAGACACGTAGCACACCTTTTACATCGGGTCAAAAAGGAAACCGATGTAAAAAAACATACCTATGACACCTTTTACATCGGGTCAAGAAGGCAACCGATGTAAAAAAACACACCTATGACACCTTTTACATCAGTTCTACTGACCAACCGATGTAAAAAATCACCTATGACACATTTTACATCGGTTCCGAATAACAACCGATGTAAAAAGTGCTTTTTTTTATAAAAAAAAATTAATAATAATATATTTCACATCAGTCTTAACTGTCAACTGATGTAGTAGATGTATTTTTTACATCGGTCTATGACCCGATGTAAAATGTCTTTGATTTACTACATCGCTTGGCTTTACATCGCACCCAGACCCGATGTAAAATGTGTTTTTGGCCCGATGTAAAAAGTCATTTCTGCACTAGTGAAGACAGACCCCTAGAACTTGGTACAGTAAGATTGAGTCTTACTTCAATGCAGAAGACTTTGAAAAGGGCCCTCATGAGCCAATTCTATTTTTCAGGCATGGAAGTAAAGGCAATGATGATGAGCTAATTGAAGCATTCAAAGGATCCATGAGAGAAATGTTTCCTATGAATGACCTTGGGAAAATGAAATATTTCTTGGAAATTGAAGTAAATCAATGTAACCAAGGAATATTCATTTATCAGCAAAAATATGCCTCTGAATTACTGACAAAGTTTGGAATGGAAGATTGCAACCAAATTTGTAGCCCAATTGTACATGAAAGCAAGTTAGTAAAGGATGAAAAAGGAAAAGCCACAGATGCTACATTCTATAAAAGAATGATTGGATGTTTAATGTATCTTCTAGCAACAAGGTCAAACATAACCTTCTCTGTTTGCTTAGTTGCAAGATATATGGAAAAGCCTACTGAGGTACATGTTGCTACAGTCAAGAGGACTTTAAGGTACTTGAAGGGAACATTGAGTTTTTGCATCATGTATAGGTGTACAACTGATGGAGATTTGATTATACAAGGCTGGAATGACAGTAATTATGCAGGTGATCATGATGATAGGAAAAGTACCTTTGGTTATGCGTTTACAATGGGATCAAGTGTAGTTTGCCGGTCTTCCAAAAAAACAACCTATTATCACTCTGTCCACCATTGAGGCTGAGTTTGTGTCAGTTTTCTCTAGTGCATGTCAATGCATTTGATTGAGAAATGTGTTAAACCATTTGCATTTGAACCAAAGTAGCTGCACTACTATAAACTGTGACAACAATTCTTCTATAAGAGAATCCCATCATGCATGAAAGATGCAAGTATATTGATGTTAGGTACCATTTCTTTAGAGATCTTAACAATGATAGAATTATTGAGCTAAAATTTTGCAAATCACAAGACCAATTGGCTGACATTATGACAAAAGCTTTAAAGGTGAAAACTTTCTACAAATTAAGAGAAAGCTTAGGAATGTGTGATATTGGCTGATTTCTATTGTCTATTTTTGATCTATTTTAAATAGTTGGCTTTTAGTTTTTAGTTTTCTGTTAGTTGATCTATAACTGTATAAGAGATCAACTTAATGGAGGGTATGTTGTGTATTGGCTAATATTTGGGCTTATTGGACCCTGTACAGATTAGACCCATTATTTTAGGTTTATAACACTTGATGTTGCCTATAAGACATTTTTACTCAACACTAGCACTCTTCCGTACATATATTATTTTACCTACTCATAGCCTAAACTATTATTTTTGAAGATATTCCCACTAAAACACTAGAATTTTCATATGAATTTCAAATTTTTATTTTCTTATAGCGTACTAGTATTAGTTTAAAAAATATATTTCTTCTTTTTTCTTTATATTCGATCATCTATAAAATTGATGCCACCTTCTCCACTTTGCGTACTAGTATTAGTTTAAAAAATATATTTCTTCTTTTTTCTTTATATTCGATCATCTATAAAATTGATGCCACCTTCTCCACTTTAAACACACCACTAGATTACACTACCATCTAGAGATCTCTTATAAATTTCAACATACATGATTATTTAAGTCAATATTTAAATTATACAAATAGAGTAACCATACATGTATTTTCAATAAAAACATAAAACAGTCTGATTCTCCTCATTGCCACTATCTCAATTATTGCCATTAATCTTCATCTCCAAAAAGATCAAGAAATACAGTTGTCTTACACTTGGGACACTGAGGTTCATCCTCTGATGACATAACATACATGTAGCATTTAGGACAACCAACAAGAACCATCTCTTTTGTAACTGCCTTTGCATACTCCTTCTCATTATCTTCTTGTTTAGTCGCCATTGAAGTTACCTCAGGAACAATCATTTTTGATGAATATGATTTTGAAGACGAGGATGAAGACGACGAAAATAACTCCGGTAAATCCGGTGATGATGATTTGCCACTTTCTGGTGATGGAGGACTCAATTCCGAACCTCGACTCTTTCTTTTGCTCATCGTGTGTATATATAGATGTTTAAACCCTTCATTTTCAAGGAAAGTAAAGGTTAAAAATGCAGAGTCTAGCTTATTAAGGGTTTTATATTATTTGGTGTAAATGGATGGATATTATTTTTTTAAACTCATTACAAACATAATTTCTATTCAAGTTTGAAACTGTGTTTTTTTTCCAATAGAGTTGAAACAAATTAATATTATGTTTCAAACACTAAACAAGTCATTATTTGTATATTACTGTAATATATCGATATGATCTAATCTTTTTTATATACTTTAAATAATTTTTGAAATTATGATTTATTAAGTTAAATATCTAAATAAATCCTTAAACTTATCCTTTATTTTTCTTTAATTAAGACTAAATAATTATTTAAAGAAAAATTAAAATTGAATGAAAATTATGTATTTAAGACGCAATAGACCTATAACTACAAGTTGTAAAAATAAATAAATATTGTTTTAAAAAAACTTTAAATAAATAAATTTTGTAATTTGATTTATTTTATAAATAATAATTTTTTCATAAACATTTAAAAAATATTTAGATAATAAAAAATTGAAAAATAATTGAAATTATTTATTTAATTTTTAAAAATTTATATATATGAGTGGGGATCAACTTACTCAAAAAATAAGTTTTGTTAACTTACTTCATATCATAATCTTTGGATTGAATATAATTTAATAGTTAATTAAATAAAAAAAATTAATTAACTATTAGATAGATGTTTTTCTAATAGTACATGTTTTTGGTGCCAAACAAAATTTAACCATGGTAAATCGTAGTACATGTTTTTCTAATAGTACATGTTTTCCTAATAGTACATGTTTTTTTAATGTGAAATGACAATGACTTAAAAATAAATTTAATTTAAATGTTATAATTTGAAGTAAATAAAAAAAATATTTTTAAAATAATAAGTATGTTAAATTTATATAAATGTTCTAATTTTTTTTCTAATTTGAGATGAGGTTGTTTATGCTAAGACAAAGCAAGATATTCTTCTACACAATATTTTATATTTTTTTCTCTTTATATAAAATATTTTGCTCTCTATTCTCTCATCATATATAAAAAAAATTAATAATGTCAACAAAAATTAGACCACGTTAGTCTATATTTCATAATGAGTTCAACTTTTATATTTAACTTTTGATGTATATACGTTTGGTAAATTTTAAAACTTAATTTGTCTAAATTTTTTATCATAAAAAAACATAATCTCATTTTAAATAGAAAAATAAACCATTCTATGTATTTTTCTCAACTGTCAACTTAAAAATATAAATTTAATTAAAATGGACAAAACTCTTTTTAAGTGAACAAAGTACTATCAACTTTTATTAAGCAAATAAATTGGTAATATTAAATTCTCATGAAGCATGTAAACTACAAATGCTTAAAATATAATGACAGAACAAAAATATCAAAAACTGAGTTATATAGATAGAATATTACTTTTCTGAAGTAAGCAAGAAAGAAGAGAGAAAGAACAGTACCTTATGAAAAGAAGCAGAGGTAAAGAAGGCAGCACCAACCACCAGAAGTTTCAAATCAATGAAACCTTTGGGAATAGTTACCGAACAGATCAGAGCAGCATATACACACCAATATATAGCAATTTTTTATTGTGCTCGAATGACACGTACATAGAATAATGGAGGATTTAATTTTTCATATATAAGAACAAAACAAAAAGTAATAATAGAGGATTTAAAGAGTGAAATACGGAGAAGATAATTTATTGCACATAAATGTCAATAGTAACTTTAGGTTGCAGAAGTGGGGTTTTTGCGTAAATAAAAAATTTTGGTTGGCAGTACGTCATTACTTTTATTATTAGTTAATGGTCCATTCTTGTCGTTAGATTTTAACCACATATCTCTAACGTGAGAGAAACAATAACGATATAGTTTGGTCACAACTTTTTTTTTTTTTGGTTTAGATGATAAGGGAAAAAAACAAACAAAGAATAGACATCTTATAATATAAAAGTAAATATCTTATAAGATGAGTATAGCAAGTGTGGGTCAAATGTGAATAGTTAGTCTCACATTAATTAGAAACGTGGAGAATTGAACATTTATAAGTGGAAGAACTCATACACATATCACCTTAAAATTTTGAATAAATATGTGACGTGTCTCTCACAAAGATGTTGCACAAAGAAGGAAATTCAATAATGTACAATGCTCCCTAGTGAAAAAAACTTCCCCAACAATGATATCATGAGTTTTTGGTTCGAGTAAAGGACCAACTCACTTGTATCGAAAGTACACCCCACATGTGATGAGTAGGAGGAGTATTGTGGATAAGCTCACACTTGAGGGGAAGTGTTGAGTATAACAAATGTGAGTAGTATGAGCAATAGTTCCCACATTGGCTAAAAATGTATAGACTTGAGTATTTATAAGTGGGAGAACTCATACACCTATCACCTTAAAATTTTGGGTGAATATGTAGTGTCTCTCTCACAAAGGTGTTGCTAAAAAAAAGAAGTCTCACAATGCTCAATGCTCCATAGTGAAAAAAACTTCCCTATAACAAATGCAATATGTTTCATAGATCAAATGCAATATATTCTCTATGACTTGCATTCATTTGTTTATGATATATGTGAGATGTTGGGTCGAACTCTAGTATGGTCGAAGTCTGTTCGCAAGTAATGCATGTTGTAGTCGAAGTCTGTTCTAACATGCATTAGTCAATATTGCTAGGGTTGTTAGCATGTTGAATTGGGCCTTGCTTGTAAGCCCAATTGTTTAAGTTAGCTTGTACCCTAAGTTGGCTTGTAATGGGTAATTGTTAAAAAGCCCATTAGGTTAGTGTGCTATTTTTCTTATAAATAGGATGCTAGTTTCTCAATCTTGGCATAAGAAAAAATAGGAAGATAAAATTCTAATTTCAAGGGAGAGAGGTTATTTTGTTATTCTTGTATACTTGTAATCTTGCTCTAAGAGAAAGGAAAGAATAACAGTTTAATAACCAATCCTTGTTGTTCCTTGTTGTTTTACCTTGTCTTCTTTATTAACCCTAACTCTTGTGTGTTTCTTGATCGTTAAGAAATTGTTTATACTTTGTTTAAAGGTATCTGATTCACAACAAATTGGTGCGGTGAGCGTGGAGAAAATGCCTTCAACAAAGTATGAGATTGAAAAGTTCACCGGAGTGAACGACTTCGGTCTGTGGCGCTTGAAGATGAAAGCCCTGTTGGTTCAGCAGGATTGTTTGGAAGCGTTAAAAGGTGAGGCAGCCATGGATGCTGCGTTAACAGAAAAAGAAAAGACGTTGCCCAGTTGCAAGTTTTTCCACTGTATGCAGTTAATAAAGCTGTATGAAGAAAGCTAGTTTCTTGATGTTATAGAGTTAGATCCAAGGTGGAGATTTGTGAGATGTTGGGTCGAACTCTAGTATGGTCGAAGTCTGTTCGCAAGTAATGCATATTGTAGTCGAAGTCTGTTCTAACATGCATTAGTCAATATTGCTAGGGTTGTTAGCATGTTGAATTGGGTCTTGCTTGTAAGCCCAATTGTTTAAGTTAGCTTGTACCCTAAGTTGGCTTGTAATGGGTAATTGTTAAAAAGCCCATTAGGTTAGTGTGCTATTTTTCTTATAAATAGGATGCTAGTTTCTCAATCTTGGCATAAGGAAAAATAGGAAGATAAAATTTTAATTTCAAGGGAGAGAGGTTATTTTGTTATTCTTGTATACTTGTAATCTTGTTCTAAGAGAAAAGAAAGAATAGCAGTTTAATAACCAATCCTTGTTGTTCCTTGTTGTTTTACCTTGTCTTCTTTATTAACCCTAACCCTTGTGTGTTTCTTGATCGTTAAGAAACTGTTTATACTTTGTTTAAAGGTATCTGATTCAAAACAATATAAAACAAAACAAAAAGTTAGCTAAATAAAACAAATATTCAGTTATATGATTATTTAAGAACACAAACCTTGAACCCATGGTAATTTTCTGCACTTGCAATCTATCACATAAATCTCTTCCAAAGTAAATGCAATCTCACCAGCCACATATTAAATAAACCTAACTTTTTTGTGCTCTTGCAATTTATCACAATGATACTTTTACTTTGTAAAATCTCACAGCGCTTTAACTAATCTTAGAGTTTCACAATAACATTGTGGATTCACAACTATCTAATTTAAATAATCAAAATGCTTTTATAATGAGGGTTTTAAATTTCACAAGGATCACTAATGACAGTGTCTTGAGCGTTGATAGTCATTAAATGGACGGTGAAGAAACCGAAAAAACACGCTAATATGTTACCCGAGTTATTACTCAAAACTGAGGTAAAATGTGTTTCTTTTTAAAATAAAAAAAAAAAATCAAATATGTTTCATCCCAAGCCACATACATGTTGGTTTCTGTTTAAAACTGAGGTGAAATTTTTTTTTTATATTTACATTGTTTACAAATAATATTAAAATAAATTACTTAAACAAATCAAGAGTTTGACAATGGATTCTTAGGGAACAACCCAGAGGAGTTATATGTTCCAAACAAGAGAATCTTTTTATATTTACATTATTTTCAGATTTTTAAGAAGTTATCTGTTCCAACTGTAACACCCCAAATTTAATCGGAATATCTTAATTAATTATTTAATTGAGAATATTCATGTTTCGGTGAACTTCCGGTGGTTTTGTGAATATTGGGAAGATGTGCATTTTCGGGTATTTATTTGATTAATAGCATATAATATTAATTTATTAGTATTATTATTAATTAAATGGAATATAAGTGAAATAAGGGCAATTTGGGCATTTGAGGGAGTTAGTAAGGGTAATGAGGGAAAAGTCCAATTTGTGAGACCCAAGACTAGGTTGGACAAAATTGAGTTCTGAAGGGAATTTGAATTCATTTATGTTAACCGTGAAAGTTTGGTGGCCAGAGCTCTGAAAGAAAGGTTGGAGGCAGAAGATCCCGAAGTTAATCGTGAAAGCTGCGAATCGACTAAGGTATGAGGAGTATCGTTGTT